CCCATGGAGGGGCGGGGGGTGTGGCTCAGTGGTAGAGCCCCTGCCTAGAATCCCCCAGTGAGGGGCTGGGGGTGTGGCTCAGTGGTAGAGCACTGGTCTGGTGCATTGAAGGCCGTGAGTTTGAAACAATAAAAATAAAAGGAAACAACAGAATTCTGCTATTTTTCTTCTGATTCATTTTGGTCACAGCTTGTTTTCATCTTCGCTTCATCTTTTGGTTTTCAGAGTCAATTACTACCTACAACACAACAAAGAAAACCCTGCATCTTGCCCGGGTGGTGAAACACACCAGCAGTGTCAGCACACAGCAGTCTGAGGCAGGAGGATGATGAGTTCCAGGCCAGCCTTAACCACCTAGTGAGATGGTGTCTCAAAACGGCGATGACAAAGTCTGTCTCCTGGAGTAAATATTTTTGAAACTCTCTTCATCCTCCTCTCTTAATATTATTACAACACAGTTTTCTGCTCCATCTGCCTTCTCTCCAGGTGCTGGGTGGCTGAGTTCACGCTCACACTCAGGTTTCTGCCTACCAAAGTGGATGCTTGTCTATGGCACTTGTGAGGGAGGCGCACCCCTCTTTTTCAGGAAAGGACTCTGAGGGAAGGCTAAGCACAGCGTGGTGGTAAAAGGACAATCCAAGAAGAACCTGGCCAGAGTCAGCCCTCCCTCTTCCCCCCTCCCCACTCCCTACCCCTTTCTCTCTGTTCTGGGAATGGAACCTACAGCCTTGTGCAGACTAGGCAAGCACTCAACTGCTAAGCCACATCTCAGTCTCTCACTGAGGGATTCTGGGCAGGGGCTCCACCAATCAATCACTGAGCCACGCCCCCCAGCCCCTCACTGGGGGGGTTCTGGGCAGGGGCTCCACCAATCAATCACTGAGCCCCGCCCCCCAGCCCCCTCACTGGGGGGATTCTGGGCAGGGGCTCCACCAATCAATCACTGAGCCACGCCCCCCAGCCCCCTCACTGGGGGGATTCTGGGCAGGGGCTCCACCAATCAATCACTGAGCCACGCCCCCCAGCCCCCTCACTGGGGGGATTCTGGGCAGGGGCTCTACCAATCAATCACTGAGCCACGCCCCCCAGCCCCCTCACTGGGGAGC